GGGGTATATGTGTGTAGGGGTGTGTGCATGCATGGGGTATATGTATGTAGGGGTGTGTGTGTGCATGCATGGGGTATATGTGTGTAGGGGTGTGTGTGCATGCGTGGGGTATATGTGTGTAGGGGTGTGTGCATGCCTGGGGTATATGTGTGTAGGGGTGTGTGTGGGGGGCAGGGTGTCCTGTGCACTTTGGGGTGTTCAGCAGCATTCCTGGGCTCCACGCACTTGATGCTGGTAGTGGCCTTATCAGTTGTGACAACGTAAGATGTCTCTAGCTGCTGTCACACATCCCCTGGGGGCAGAGTGGCCCCTGAGTGAGAGCCACTACGCTGTGAGTGAACGGTGGTCCCAGCCAGGGGAGCTGGAGCTGGACTTGAACTCAGCCTCCTGGCTTCTCACTGAGTCATGAGCCTCCTGGTGGTGATCAGTCTTCTGCTAGGTGGCCACCTCTGGCCACTGAGCCCTGTCCTCCAGTCCCAGGGACAGCCTGGACACACCCGCTTCCCTCGGGGTTCCACCTCATTTACCATCCCCCCATCCCTTGCTGCTCCTGCGAGTGTGGACCCAGAACCAAACTGTGGCCCTGGTCATGGTGGGGGTCTGAGCCATTTCTGACCCCCAGGCCCACCTTGTGGAACAGGGAGGCAAACACCTCTTGGTGGCTGTTCATGTCCACCCCACCGCACACCCGGACCAGCTCCTCGTCGTCCTCGGCCTTGGCCTCCTCGAAGGCCTCAAGCTGGATCAGCAGGTCGGCGTCCTCCAAGTCCCTGAGGTGGATGGCCGGGCAGGCCGAGCTGAGGTCCCGGACAGGGACTTCGGCTGATGTGGCTGAGCTCCGTGGTCAGGCCCCGTGGCCGACACGTGGCTGAGCGTTGTGTCACGACTGACACGTGGCTGAGCTCTGTGGTCAGGCCCTGTGGTCATGCCATGTGGCTGACACGTGGCCACTGTAACCAGGGAGCAACCACGGTTTATCCCGGGGAGACTCTTGGGCTTGGGAAAGTGGCAGGCTCATGGGTTCGAGCCTTGCCCCCTGCCACGGTCACCTGAGAGTGCCCAGGGCCCTCGGGAAGGGGCAGAACAGGCCTGCACGCTGAGGCCCGGCATGAAGGACAAGGGTGGAGAGGAAGCCCCTTCTGTGGGAGCAGGGAGGAGGCACAAAGACCACACCTGAGGCAGGTACCCCATGGCCATGGGGAGGCTGGGGCTCCTGGCCTGAGCAGGAGGGGCTTGAGTGTTCCCTGGGCCAGGGACCAGCCTGCCACCTCTGCCTGGTCAGTTCTAAGCTGTCAGTCTCATTGTTCTCAGCCCCTAGTTGGGTTGGGCTCTCAGCTGACCTTCCCAGCTAACTTCCCTGGATGTGTCCTGACTAAGGCCAGGGATGGGTATGAGACAGGGTTAGCAAATACCCAATAAATAGACACTTCAGATAAACAGTAAACGACTTTTGAGCATAAGTATGACCTGTGCAACACTCAGGATGTCCTTCTACTAAGAGGAAAATTCACCGTGTCTGAAAGCTGCCTTTAACGGAGCATCCCGTCCTGTAACCAACGGGCTCCCCTAGCTATACAAGAGAGACAGCCAGGGGGTGGTGGCGGCCAGATCGTCCGGGACTAGGGAAGCCCCACCCCACTCGTCAGGGCATGCTACTAGGAGGGGGTGCTGCCTCTAAGGGGAGGGTGGGCTAGGCCTTGGGAACAGGCCACGGACACGGGAACTCACCGCAGCCTGGTCAGGACATCCAGCAGCTGCAGGCCTGAGGGGGACAGCAGTCAGTGGCCAGCGTTGGCCCCTGGGCAGCCCCTCTCCCTTGGCCCTCTGTCTGCCTCTATCCTTCAGAGCCTGGGAGACTGGCCCAGGTCCCCTCCTCAGGATGCACTCGGTGGTCCCACTCAGTGAGGACTCAGAACCAGCAGGGCTCGGATCAGGGTCAGACCCCGTCTTCACTGCCCGGCCAGCCTGTCAACTGAGTGCACCCGGGGCTCACGTCCCGGAGTCAGGCCCAAGGCCACCAAGCGTGGGCAGGGCACAGTGGGGTGGACAGGTCTGCTGTGCTGGCCTCTCCCAGGAGGGTGTGGTGAGGGGCACCCGCGCGTGGGCGGTTACCGATGAACTCATTCCGAAGCTGGGTGCGGGTCCGCAGGTCCTCAGGGCCAAGGATGAGGGCATTGACGACACTGAGCAGGGTGACCACGTAGGGGACGTTGTCGCTGTCGGAGAGCTCATTCATGACGACACTGAAGCGGTACTGCTGGCTGCACACCACCTGGGGGCACCGTGGGGTCAGCCTGTGCCCCAGCCCGCCCCGTGCCCCTTCCCCCAGCTCACCTTGTAGTGGTCCAGGGCGTCCAGTGTCAGGGCGTGGCCCTCGGGGGAGTAGATGCAAAGGGCCGCCAGCAGCTCAAACACCTGCTTCTTGACCATCACGTTGGACGTGTCCAGAGCTGTGGGGAGCAGGAGCCTCTGGGGGCCTTGTACTGCCACCAGCTCCACTGTCCTCGCACTGGGGGGGTCATGCAGCCACCCCCTCCCTGAGCCTGCCTCCTGGTCTGACGCCCCATCTGTCAGCCTGGCAGGTGGACACCAGGGGGCACTCTGCATCCTTGACTGGCCTCACCAGGGGTGGGCCAACAGGACACCCGAAGGGGGTGCTCAGGGCTGGGTGGGGCTACCTTAGTTCCAAGGGTGTCCTGCCAGCCCCGCCCCTCCCTGCTGCGGGCTTGGGCCATGACCCACAAGAGGGTGTCTCTTGGTATAATCCCACGTGTTTTCCCCAAACCCAGCACATCTGCCACTGTGACAGTCACAGCCTGTCCCATAAGCCCTGCCTCCCACCCACTCCCTGAGCCGGGACAGTTCTGGGGGTGTCTGCTGGCTGGTCCTGCTAAGAACAAGTCACAAAGGACTCTGTTGATGGCCACAAGTATGCCTGAGCTGTGGGGACATGGGTCCTACCCTTGGGACCAAGACATCTGGCTGGTTCTCCCATCCCCGCCCCCAAGCCAGCTCTGGGGCCTCACAGCTCAGTGGGCAGGGGACACACAGGCACCACTGTCCACCAAGGGCTCCCTGGGGTCTTTCTCGAGGGCTCAGAACACAGAGGGTGTCAGGGATACCGGGCACAGCCTGGGTGGGCTTCCTGGAGGAGGTGGCAGGGAGTGGTACTTGGAAGATGAGCATGACTTTGCCAGACACACAAAGGCAGCTAGGGCAAGAGCCGGGGCCAGGGCTGGAGGAGCGACAGCCGGGAGGGGGTGCTGGGGAAAGCGCCCGGAAGGTCGAGGACCTTGCTGTCCTCAGACGTGGGCCGGCTAGAAAGGGTGGAACGGCGCAGGCGGGCTTAGGTGGTTCTGACCTAAGGTGACTTCAATCACCGTCGTGTGGACAGGGTGCAGGGCTGGGGGTCAAGACTGCAGGGACCAAGGAGGAGGTGGGATCGCTGTGAGTCAGAATCTACTCGATGGCAGTGAGTGCCGGTGCTCAGGGGAGAGGCCTCCTCCTCCAGGAAGTCTGCCCTGCAGCCCAGCCCTGCAGCCTGAGGTCGCCGTGGCCGCCAGCTCACCCCGGGAAAGCTGGCGCACGTAGCCCCGGTTGCCCAGGATGTACTCCAGGCCCTGGCGCGAGTTGAGGACGGCGCGCACGCAGCTGACGCAGGTGAGCTGCAGCAGCGCGTCGGCGATGCGCGCCACGCCTCGGCCCGACAGCCGCGCCAGGGCCTCCAGCAGCAGGTCCAGGCCGCTCTGCTCCAGGAACTGCACCATCCAGCCGCCGTCGCTGCTCTCCAGCCGCTTGCGCAGGCCCGAGTAGTTGACCACCGAGGGCATCTGCAGCAGCCGGACGCACAGCTCGGGCTCAGCGCTCTCCAGGTTGGCCTCGGTGGGGTCGGAGTCCTGCGGCCCCAGCTTCTTCTTGAGCGCCGTCCACCGGCGCTGGGCGCCCTCCTTCACCGACATCTTGCCAAACTGAGGGGCCGGGAGAGACAGCTGTCAGTCCCCAGACTGCACGTGAAGCTTGGGTTCCCCTGCCTCAGTTTCCCCATCAGCCAATCTGAGTTTAATCAGATTTTAATGGGCTTCTCCGTCCCTGAGGGAGCTCTGGTGGCACAGTGGTTAAAGCATTCGGCTGCCAGCCAAAAGGATGGCGCTGGGAACCCGTCAGCTTCTGTGAAGACTGACAGCCTGGGAGACCCTGTGGTGCAGTTCCACTCTGTCCTCTAGGGGCGCTGTGAGCTGGCGTCTACCCGGTGGCAGTGGGTTTGGTTTCCTGGTATCCTGTCCCTGGCAGTACAAACAGTAAGTATGCTTGGCTGCTAGGCCAAAGGCTGGAGGCCTGACTCTGCCTGGAGGCAGAAACCTGGGTCATCCGGCTGGGCACCGTTGCCTGCAGAGCCTGCAGCCTCCTTTTTTCTCTCAGAAAATAGGCCTGAAGATGTAACTCAGAAAGTAGCTCTTGACCTGAGGGGGCCCCTGGTGGAGCCCTTCACAGACCAACACCCAGCTCACGGCTGAGGAGTCGATGCGACTCACAGCGATCCCTCCTCGGGATTCTGAGGCAGTATTTCTATGGAAGTAGACCACCCAACCTTCCTTCCAAGGAGTGGCTGGTGGGTTTGAACCACCAGCCTGCTGGTTGGCAGTCATATGCCTTAGGCACTGCGACACCCCAAACTCACTGCCATTGAGTCGATTCCGACTCACAGCAATGCCACCAGGTTTCCAAGGTAAATCCTTACAGAAGTAGATTGCCCCACCTTAATTCCATGGACCAGCTGGTGGGTTTGAACCACTGACCTTCCGGTTTGCAGCCCAATGCCTAAGGCACGGTGCCACCAGAGCTCCTCTGTTCATCCCCCAACACACACACACTCAATCACCATAGCACCCCAGGCAGCAGGCAGGGACATGCCCCCATGCCCATAAGGACCCTGGGACTCCGTCCGACCCTCTGCTGTAGGGCTGGGAGAAGAGGACAAGGTCCGGCCAGTCTGCCCAATGCCCCATGGGAGTGCGTAATTTCCCTACAGATGGGATTTGGACCTGCCTGCAGGGAGCGCTGGTGGTGTAGTGCCTAAGGCATTTGACTGCTAACCAGAAGGCTGGCAGTTCAAACCCACCAGCCACTCCTTGGAAGGAAGGTTGGGCAATCTACTTCCGTAGTGATACTGTCTCGGAAACTCAAGGAGGGTCCTTATGAGTCGCATCTGACTCCAAGGCAATGGTCGCATTGTTTGCGTTTGCAGAGCCTGGGGGCCCACCAAGGGTGGCTACACTGTGCAGAACACCAGTGGCCTGTGGTGCACTGAAAGCAGGGTGTCCCTGGGGCCCCCAGGGTGTCCCTTTTGCCCCCATGAACTGGGCAGCAGGGGTGAGTAGTGGCCCTTCCTGGGGCTGCCCACAGCCTCAGGAATGGTGGCTCACTCCCCAACACGAGGCTGGGAGGGGTAACTCACGGAGCAAACTCGAGGGCCCCGCACAGGGTGGGACCAGGGCCTGTGGGGGAAGCCCTGCAGGACCCTGGCTTCTCTGGCCCTCGATTTGTCCACAGGAGGTGGGTGGATGCTACCCAGGTCACCACAGCCCCCCCGAGGGCAGAGGTGCCCAACAAATGTCTTTGAAAAGCAGCACATCTGGTGCACTGAGGAGGGTATCGGGGGCAAGGAGGGTGTGCCGTGTGACTGTCGGGGTGCTGACTCCGTGGCCAGGGCTGCCTCCAGCTGGGACGGGGCTCCGCCTCACTGTTGTCTAGGCCCTTCTTCCAGGGTCCACCGTGAAGTGGGGTTGGCCCTGCTGGCTGTAGCCAGGGACCAGCGGACTGAGACACTGTCCCCAACAACAGCCCCGGGGGACAGCCTCAAAGGTCAGGGGCCTCTCAGGCTCTCCTGTGACCATGTATGGCTCCAGTCTTATATTTAGCGTCTGGGAATGGCTGTGTGGGGCCCTGGGTGGTGGCTGGGGGGCAGCCTGGCTAGGACATGGCTCCCTCTTGGGTAGTGCTGCAGGCTTGGTCCCCTCCCCTTGAGGCAGGCATTTCATACTCCCACTTCACAGATGGGGACACAGAACCACACCCTGAGTAGATCACCTGTCCAGGGTCACACAGTCACAGACCACAACTGGAACCTCCCAGCCTGTGGGATGTTCGGAGCAGGCCAGCATCGTAAGAGTTGGGGGGCTCTGGGCTGGAGGGCCAAGTGAGGTCACGCAGGAGACAGGGGCTGAGAACCCAGGCACCTGCCCCCAGTCTGTCTCCTGGCCTCTAATCCCCATGTTCTAGTCCTTGGACGTCCAGTTCGCCCTGTACTCTGGATGATGGCCTTGGGGTATCTTCCCTGAGGCTCCTGGCCCCCACCCCCGGTCTGTGAACAAGTCACAGCACTGCCCAGCATCCGGGCAGCACCCTCCTCTGCCTGTCTCCCGTCCAAGTGCCCTGTGTGACCAGCAGGGTCCTCCCAGGGAGGTGGTCTGGTGGGCGGAAAGAGGGCTCTGCCCGGGTTTGGGTCTTGCCCTAGCCTAAGTTCTCACATCTGCACCTACCGAATCAGGCTGATGTTGGGAGCCTCCTAGGGCGCAGTGGATGCCCCGTGGGCACTGATGGGGATGTCTATGTATCAGCCCTCCCCAGGGGGTTCAAGGAGCCCGACTAGCACAGTGGCTTGAACCCACCAGCTGCTCCACAGGGGAAAGATGAGGCAGTCTGCTTCCGTAAGGATGACAGCCTTGGAGACCCCATGGAGCAGTTCTGCTCTGTGCTCTAGGGTCACCATGAGTTGGAATCGACTTGATGGCATCGGGTCCAGGGCGCCCAGAAGCCTGGGTCATCCGGCTGGGGCCCGTTGCCTGGAGAGCCTGCAGCCTTCCCTGTCACCCTCCCGGCTGTAAATGACTCTCCCGGAGCCTGGCCCTTTGGGCTGTTCCCACTCACCCAGATCCGCAAGACCTTCCGGCCACCTCTGTCCACCCACTCAGGATCCTGCCTCATGCCGCTCCTCACACTGTCCTGGCTTCTCATCCCTGCTGCCCACCGAGTGCTCAGATGCCTGCAGAGCTGCTGGGCCCTCTCGACGGCCCTCTCACCACCACAAAGAGCAGTCGGACTGGGCTGCGCACGCACTCCCACCCACCTGGTGCTGCTGGTTAAAGAGGCACCCGGCCGCACCCCCTCCCCAAGCCCTGCCCCCTTGGCACAGGCCGAGTGACCAGACCCAGGACTCTCCCAGACCGGGCGCCAGGCATCGTGTCCTCTCCAGCCCAGCACCCCTCCAGGCCACTTGTTCCTAAGCTCGCTGCGCCTCACTTCCTGGGAGAGCCCCCCAATATGCAGGGGGGCCTGCTGACGCCCCTCCTGGCACCGCCCAGCCTTCTCTTCCTGCCCACGGCAGGTCCTGTGCTCTGGGCACCAAGCTCTGTGTCCCGGGTCTCGGCTGCACAGGGGAACTGGGCCCACCGGGCACTGTCAGCGTGCGGAGGGCTCCGGCCCGTGCCTCGAGCTGCTGAGGCGGCGCCTGGCTTTGCCCCCGTGTGGTTCTCCAGGCTGCGCCCACAGCCACCGGGGTGGGCCCTGCACCAGGGCGAGGTTTCAGAAGACGACCACTGCTCTGCGGGGCACGCGAGGAGACCAGCAGCTCCCGCCGGCGCCTCGCCAGCTGCGCCCCGCAAACCGAGCAGCGCGGTGCGAGCAGGGCCAGCATGCAGCGGGCGGATCAGCGGCACACACCGCACGGGCCCCGGGCGCGGCCATCAGGAGGCGCTGCGGCTGTTGGCACGCCGCCCGCCGAGGCCCTCCCTCGCCCGCCGCGCCTCTGAGCTCCCAGCCCGCGGGCTGAGCGATCGCCTCGGGCCGGGCCAGGTGCCCAGACCCGGCGAGGCTACGGGACAGGAGCTGGATTCAGCCTCACGGCCGCGGGGGCGTGACCGGCCCGATGCGGGCGTGGCCAACCCGGCATCAGCTCCGCCTCACGGTCGCGGGGGCGTGGCCAACCCTCCACAGCGCAGCCTTACGGCCGCGGGGGCGAGGCCGAACACAGTGGGCGTGGCCTCAGGCGGCCGGGGCGCGGTCGGCCCGACCCGGGCGTGGCACCGCTGGGGGGGGGGCGGGGCGGCGGCCGCAGGAATTTGCGCTGTGGTTTTGTCTGCCGCCAGTGGTTGCAGGGACTTTTCCAGAAGCAGCGCGCGGCCACCTGGGACTCAGCAGGGCCCAAGCATCCTGTGGCCGAGCCCCAGCCGCCCGTCCTGCATCGATGGAGCCAGGAGGGCAGGGGCATTTTGCGGACGAGACCCCAGCGGCGCTAGGCTGCCCTGGGAGCCGCGGGGGTTGGGGGCAGCCTCACACCGAGAGGGCCTGCAGGGGCAGCTGGTCCTCCGGGCCCGCCCCGCGCCGGGCGGCTGGCAGGGGCGCTGGCGCCGCCACCCGTACGCCCACAGGCCCAGGCAGCAGCGCTGACTCAGGGAGGCCGCCGCCCCCTGCCTGGAAGACGAGCTGAGCTGAGTGTGTGTGGGGACGAGGCTGGTTCTCCCACACCGCAGTGCACAGGCCCCTGTCCCTACTGTGCAGAGAAGCCGAGCCGCCCAGGGCGGGGGCCACTCGGAGCCAAACCTCGGCCTCACTGTCCTTTTTCTGAGACCAGTGTAACCACCGTCACCGCCTCACCGGCTGGGAGTGGCGAGCACGGGTCCTGGCCCCTGGCCAACACCACTGTGCCTGGGAACCTCCAGAATCACATTCCAGGACCCTCCCTGGGCAGACCCCACTGTTAGGGCAGTGCGGGGTGGGAGGTAGGGGTCTGCCTGAGGGCCCAGGCCCTCCACAGGGAGGGAACCAAGCCTTGAACCTGGCACCCTGGGGCCTCTGCTTTCTGTATGCCAAGCCCTGAGAGCTCCCAGGGCCAAGAGGCTCCGGATACCTTGAGGCAGAGCTGGGGCCAGGGCAAACACAGGCTGAGCCGGGCGGGGGGGGGGGGACCTGC